CCCACCCACCACCACCACCACCACCGCGGCTTCCTCACCTTTCGTGCCTTGTCCCTTCGGTCTCTGGAGCGGAGACGACGCGGCGGCGGCGGCCAGAGCGAGGCAGGAAGAAAGGGGAAGAGGGAGAGAAGCCATAAGTCATGCGGCGGCAAAGAACAGGCCGGGGGCCGGGCAAAAGGAAAGAGGGAGGGAGGGACGTAGGGGAGAAAGAAGCCGAGCCCCAAACCTAGGCCGCTCCGACCTGCCGGCGGGGGAGACGGGAGAGGAGGAGGGCCGGGCCCGGCGGGGGTTCGTTCGCGAAGGGAGGGAGGCGAGGGAAGTGGAGGCGCGAGCCTTTCCTCCGTCCGTTTGGCCGCCCACCCCCTTCCCCGGCTAGGCCTGAAGCCGGGGCCTTTCCCAGCGTGGCGCCCCTCACGCCTGGGGCGCCGCTCTCTCTCTCGCTCGCTCTCGTTCGCTCTTCCTCCCACGGCTTACCTGCTCCAAGAGGCTGCTGGCCGACATGGCTCTCCGTTCAGCGGCGGGGTTCCGAGGCGAGCTGCGCGGCGAGGTGAGGGGGCGGGGATGGCGGCAACGGTGGCGGCTTTGTCCGGGGAAGAAGAAGGAGGAGAAGGAGGAGCAGCAGCAGACACACCGCGCGGATCCCTCTCGGCTTCCTGGCGGACTCTGACTGGCTCGCCCCGCCCGCGGCTCCGCCCGCTCGCCTCGCGCTGCGTCGGCGCTCTAGCCGCTCCGACGGCTGCCCACAACTCCCGCTCTATGGTGCTGCCCGCCCGCCAGTTCGCGCGCAGCCGCGGAGGAGGGTGGTGAGGTGAGGGGGAGAGGGGGGGTCGAATGGCAGGCAGGATGACTCGGCTCCGCTCGGCTCGGCTCGGCTCACCAGGCGACGGTCAGGCGGGCCGAGAGGCGAAGGGAGAGGCGCGCGCGCGCTCTCTCTAAGGGAGCAGGCGCGAAGGCAGGCGGAAAAAAAAAAGGGAGGGGAGGGGAAGGAAAGAGTAGGAGGCGGTGTCGGCAGCCGCGATTAGCATTGGTGGGAGAAAAGCACGACGGGTAAAATGGCCGATGGCGCTTGTGGGGTTGTTGGAATAAAGGGTGCCGGCAGCGCCCCCTTTGGGGAAGTCTGGAAATGCAAGGAAAGGAAATGCCCTGGGGAAGGAAGTTGGGAACGGTGCGAGCGACTCTTTATATTTAAAGATATTGCGTCAGTGAGCCCTAATTCCTAATTTAGCCTCTGCAAATAAATCGCCCCCACCTGAAGGATCCCAAGTGGGGAAGGGAGGGAAAGGGAACGTTGTCCTGGAGTTGAGTTTGACGCTCATGGCAAGCTCAAAGTGCAATTTGCAGCTTTCCCCTTCCTCTTTTGCTGACTTCACCGTCTAGCATCCAGTCTTGAATTCCTGACTCCAAGATCCAGGTATAAACCAGGAAAAAACTGATTAAACCAAGAAGAAACTGGCTTGCCTGTTTAGCTTCCTATATCTGCCAAAGTTGGCTGATAATTGTGTATAATATCATAAGCCATGATGGGCTTTGTTTTGGTTTGTCACGTTACAGGAATACAGTCGCTGTGACTTGTAAAATATTGTTGGATTGGTACACATGGTCTGCTTGAACAGGGGGTTGGACTAGAAGGCCTCCAAGGTCCCTTTCAACTCTGTTAACTTCCTTTTGTTTTCTCCACAAGACGCTTGTGATAGACTGGGTTGAGAGTGGTAGCCCAGGGTGCTTGTGACTGATGGCAGACTTGAATCTGTGTCTCTCTGATCCTACACACCTTCATCGCAAGTCATACTGGCTCTTATGTGCTTTAGGTGCGTGATCCTTTGAGTGCCCGAGTGTATAAAGCTGGTACATGAAAACCTGGACCTATTGAGCCAAATAAGACATAGTGCTTATTAAACCATGTCAGTTTACATGTTGTGCTGTGCTATGAACACTATATTGAACATTTATACTTAAAGTAATTAAATCATTTTGCAGCATTACAAATGGATCGTTTTTAGTAAACAAAACTTGGTTGAGAAAAAAGACATTTTTTGTTTAGGGACCTTTTCTTTGCACTGAAATGTGCTGCTGAGTTTACAGCTTACAGCAGAGACTTTTATTAACTGTGATAACTAAAGAAGAATTATATAAGTATATATATATAACAGAGATACAAAGTCTCTGTGTGTGGGGGGGAATATAGTTAGGATAGATTAGCACAGGTAAGGGAATAAGAAATGATACTAAATTATGTCTGGGTT